TAGTTTATGTGGTGACCAGGGAAAATAGGCTCTTTTAGAAGTTTTGAAAGTATATGGGAAACATTTTATACTTGTTTCTTGTTTTTTCTATTGAGAGAGTATTGTGCTGACAGATTTTGAAGCATATATAATACTGTTTTGTGGCTTTGGAGTTTTTTTTTTTTTTAATCCTAAATATCAGGCTTTCCAAAAGAATGTATATTTAAAATTCATGACATATAAAATACAATTTACAAAGAAGTAAAACACTTTAGTTCTTTTAAATATACTAACTCTTGATGTTTGTAATGTTTTATATTATGGTGTACTAAATATAAATAGTCTTATTTTTTATTTCCCTACACATTTATAAATAATAGAGCTTCAATATTTTGACAAAAATTTTTGAAGGTCATGGAATAGTTGTAATTTCCTCCATTGATTATTAAGATCACTTTGCATAGTCTCAGCTTGCTTGGTCAGTTTTATTGCCTGTACTAATGTGGTAGGAGCCAACTCCTTGGAAAAGACCCTGATGCTGGGAAAGACTGAGAGCAGGAGGAGTAGGGGGTGGCAGAGGATGAGATGGCTGGATGGCATCACCAACTGAATGCACATGAGTTTGAGCAAACTCAGGGAGATAGTGAAGGACAGGGAAGCCTGTCGTGCTACAGTCCACAGTGTCACAGAGTCGGATGTGACTTAGGGACTGAACAACTAATGCGGTAAAGTTAAACAATGAAATAGGATTGAGGAGGGTCTCTGGAAATGCCAGGTGGCATAAAGGAACTGCTTGAAGTTACAGATTATAATTTTTGAATGAGAATAGTTATAGTTACCATTTTCTTCTCCAGCTCCATTCAACTGGAGGGGTACAGATAGAGTTGAATTTTTTTTTTTTTTTTAGTAGAGAGTTGCATTTTAACAGGTTTTGTTTGAGAGTTGGGAAGAGGAGGTGGCAAGGGGGTTGAAGGTAAATGAATGGAGTAATTATAATAATAATTGACTCTGGGATTTAAGCTGGAGAAAGAGAATATGCAGTAGTGGACAGGGTAGTAGCATTGGTGGATTGAAGGGTTTTCAAGATGTTGAAGGATTGCTGGAGTCCAAGGGGGAGTGTTCTGAAAAGAGGAGTGGTGGAAAGAAAGTAGGATGAGGAAATTGAGATAAAGAAGGGGTTTCAGTAATTAGTGTTGACAGGTTCAAAAGTTTGACTGCGTAAGTGAGAAATTGAGCTTGGAGAAGATCATTGGAGAAAAGGTAGTATGAGTGTATTTAAGGGTCATCAACCTGAATGTTGAAATCACTAAGAATTATGATGGAGTGGTGTCTGAGAGAGTGATGGTGAATTAGGAGCTAAAAATAAAGATAATAGAGGGAGGTAGTGATTTGGAGGCTGCAAAAACTTAAAGTATTTGGTGGTATAGTCTCATGACCATAAAAGCTGAGCCCCAATGAAAATAGTGCTAATGGGCCCAAGGCAGAAAATGGTAGATAGTTGTGAGTGTTTAAGGAAGTGAGGGTCAGGGGAATGTCTTCCTATGAACAGGGAGAGTTCTGGGATTTCCCTTGGTATTTGCTGGAATTCTGCTGATAGAGGTAAGGAGTGCTGCAGAATGATTCTCTTGACCCCTGTCATGATGGACCAGAGGATGTGATTTTGTGGAACATCAAGGACTCCCTTGATTCCAGCCAAATGCAGCCTATTAGGAATGAGATAGGGGCAGGGCAATCTTACTTTTGAATCCGGGCTACCTTTTTACTGGGGAGTAGTAGCCTGCTATATGGATTGTTGTTCTACTGGCTTCCTGTCAACTCCTGCTGACACTAGCCTATTGATGGTATGACATTATACCAGTACTTGCCTGACTTCTGATCATGTGGAGGAGTGGTAGGGAAGAGATTGACTCCAATATCACCTGTATTTACGATGTCACAAATACATACATGTGTATATATCTGTATATGTTTGCATATATAAATCAACTATGTATTTTATCAAGTAGATGAGATACCCAGTAGTTACTTGATTACCTTAATCCTAACGGTCACATGCCTAGCATCAGTACCAGTATATTGATGATACAGAGTGCCAATGTGCTTAGTATTCAACATTATTAATATCTGAAAGATATAGTTTATTGGGATACTATATAATAGGGAATGCTAACTATATAAAAATCAGACATATATATTGTTTGTTGACTTCCCTTATCATTGCATTAAAAATGATGTTACAGTTGTTTAAGATAGGGATATTTTTGTTCCATTCCTCAGTTTTGTAAGATGTTTAGTTAAATGTTTTGTTCACGTGTTGGCGAGGAAATTGTCTCTTCCAGAAGTACTTTGTAGCAGCTCTTTTATGCCTGTGTAGGAGGAGATTCAAAATACATTTTATGGTATGCTTTGAATGAAAGGTAAATCCTAGTATCTGTCATGATTGTGTTATGATATTTGGTATTTCTTAAATTTGAATAAAATCAGGCATATCAACTGATTTCACTTTATTTTGAAGTGTGTTAGTTAAACTGAATTATATATGAAAACAAAAAATGTTGTTTTGACATATTTGTTATGTGGGGGACTTATAACTAGATTCCTAATGAACCTCACAGCTTTTTGGTTTCTAAAACTGAAAATCTTGATTTAGTAAATTCTCTCAAAAAACTTTGAAAAATGATAATAGCACTTATTTCTCTAGACATGCAAAATGTTTAATCTGAGTGTTGTAGAGTCTATGTAGGTATCAGTCTTAACTATATGACTGATTTTTTGGGGGGGCAAAAGTTGTATCTTGGGATAAATGAAAACTAGTTTAAGATGAAAATATGCAGGAAATAGTGGTAAATACTAATTTGCTAAACATTTTCTGATATGCTGGGCTAAGATTATTTTGATATTGACTGTGACAGGAAAACTTTGCTAAATTCCAGCACAGCTCAGATATAGAATGAGTTCTTCTATTCTCCTTAACAAAACTTTTTACTGTGTATAAGGTGATGCTGCCTGCAGTACCAGGTAGTCCCAAATTAAATGACAAAAGGCACTGAAAACTCATTTCTCACTATTGTAACAGTTTAATGTGAATATTCATCATCGGTCAGCTTTTTTTCAAGAAATGATTCAGGAATCTAGGCTACTTTAGTTGGTGCCAATTTTACTCCTGCTGTTCTCAGTTAGTCTGTTTCCAGCCATTCATATTCACCTGCAGTGCAGGAGACACAGGTTCAATCCCTGGGTTGGGAAGGTCCCCTCGAAAAAGAAATGGCTACCCACTCCAGTATTCTTGTCTGGGAAATCCCAAGGACAGAGGAGCCTGGCAGGCTACAGTCCATCGGGTCACAAGAGTCAGACACAACTTAATGATTACCTATGGGGTGATACTTTCAGGAACTTTGAATATCCTGTTATGGTACATTTTGACCTAATGGCTTTGGTACCCCTTAATGCCAAGTTGCTCAGTCGTGTCCAGCTCTTTGCAACCCCATGGACTGTAGCCCGCCAGGCTCCTCTGTCCCTGGCATTTCCTGGGCAAGAGTATGGAGTGGGTTGCCATGCCCTCCTCCAGGGGATCTTCCTGACCCAGGGGTCAAACCCAGGTCTCCTTCATCTCCTGTATTGGCAGACAGATTCTTTATCACTGGTGCCACCTGGGAGTGGGTGATCCTTGCACATATCAGCTTATGCATATGGAGTTATAAAATGGTAAGTTTTTAAGTCTGTCATTTCTTCCACATCTATTGGTTGGAATTTTACAGCTGTTGCAGTCTTGACTTCTGGTAAAAACTAAAGTTTAAATCATAGCTACTGTATCAGTGTAGATAGGTTGGGTAGGCATAACCCCTGCCTCCTACCAGCCAGTTTAGATTTATATTGTAATATTTAATTAGTATTTCTGATGGAATAGGTCACTAGTGTCTACTTTAGGTTCTAGATTTACTTAGGAAAGTGTTTTTTAATTATTATTCTGTATATTATAACTATAGCTGCTTATAGATGTTTTAGTGCTTCCCCTCTTGCCCATGTCTTGGTATTTTATTTTGACAGTTCTCCTAATTATGGGTACTAGATTGAGTTATAAAATATGTTCATGAACTAAGGCAAACCTTAACAAGGGAGAAGTATGTGAACTGAGAGAGTGGAATAAACTTTTAAATGACTACACTAAATTGAACAGCTATCTGTAAATAGAAACAATTCAGTTAAAGCAAAATTAATCACTGTTTAATTAGAAAAGGAAAACAAATGATAATAAAATAGTTATTGCTTTGTAAAGCATTCACTTGAATTATACACTGAAGAAGTTTAAACTCAGTCTGCTTTTACCACGCCATGGAGCATGTTTCTAGATTACTTTCCTTTAAGGCTAGTTGGTATTCATTGAAGGAATTCAAACAAATAAATATTATATTAGCCTAACTAGTTCAGATTGAAGTAGTTTTATATATTCACAGAATAGGAAATTTAATGTGTTTGAAGGGAAAGTTATAAATTACAAAATGAAGTAAATTCAGTCTTAAAATGCTCTATATATCTGAAGTGGGCAACGTTTGGAAATTTAAACCCAGAATAAAGAACGAGTATTGTTCTTTTTTAGAAATCACAAATCACTCATATGAAAAAAACCTAGAGACCCTTGATGTTGAAGGAGAACTTTGGAACCTGCCAGACTTTTTAAAAAAGGAAATTTATTTATTTATTTGGCTATGCCAGGTTTTAGTTGTGGCATGTGGGATCTTTGGTTGCAGCATGTGAACTCTTAGTTGTGGGTTCTAATTCCCTGACTAGGAATCAAACCTGGACCTCCTGCATTGGGAACATGGATTCTTAACCAGTGGACCACCAGGGAAGTCCTCACTTGTCATATTTTAAAATTAGAATACCTAGCATAAGGCCTTTCCTATTGGTGCTCAATAAGCATTTATGGCTTTCATGAATTATGACAGATACATTTTTGTTTGTAAGATAATTGGTAATATCTTAACATGTGACAGTAATAGCATTTCTTCTTTGTGTTTTAGAGTATCCCCATAAATATGGTCCACAGGGGGGTTGTGCAGATCATTCAGTGTTTGAAAGGATGAGGAAGTACCAGATGACTGGTGTAGAAGAAGTAACACAGGTAAGATTTTAATACAAGTTTATGTTTAAGAAATGAAAGTGAAGTTGTGTGTGTGGTTCTGCATTTAAGATGTACGTTCTAGGATTTCTAAAATATTTATACAATTGTCAGGAAATATTTATATTTCTTAATTCTCAAAGAGGCCAAATAACTTGCTTATAATAAAAAATACAGTCCTGAGATTTGAATACAGCCTGCTTGACCCCCAAATCATAACATGTCCAAAATATTCTCTAACATGATTTATCGTAAAATTAAAAGTATTCAGTCTGAACGTGTGTTTCGTATAAATGTCAGTGTTTGTATTAGTATGAAAATTAGAGTGACCAACTTCCCCAGGTTTGCTTGGGGCATCTTCATTTTACCATTGAAAATCATGTGTCTAAGCAAACTCAGATGGTTAGTTACCCTAATAAAAATCACAGTGCTTTTAACATTTGAATTGTAAGTTTTTCTGCTGTTGACTATTGACCTTTGATTCTTTTTTAATTTTATTTATAGGTGATAGTTTTGTAGTTATTTAAAACATGAGTTTAAAATTTTTAAAAGTTTTGTTTTTATAGTAAAAACATTTATCATGTATTTTGAACATCCTTTCTAAAAGTAGTAGGGTAGATTAATATTTCTTGAGTCACAAATGCAAATTTGTATGTTTCTTAATCTGCAAAATGGCATAAGATTATACCATTTCGAATCGGTCTTTCAAGTCTAAGTGAGATTTTATTCTTATATTCACTGAACAATTTTCTATTGATCTCCCATATATTAGAATATCTGTGGCAGCTTCTGGGAATATGTGGAAATTAAGATGAAGGCTTATCCTCAGAAAGTTTATGGTTTAATTAGAGAAACAGAAAAATTAAAGGTAGTAAGAAATAGAGAATTAAGTTAAGAGTTAATGCTTGTGGGTGGTATTCTACCCACAAAAAGACTAGTTAACCTAGCCTTGAAAGTGTTTGAGGACAATAATCAGAAACTAAAAGAATAAGCAAAAGTTAGATTGACCATGAAGAGATGGAAAGAGAAGGAACAATGAATACAAGGCCAGAGAGATAGCAGTACCAGTAAAGAATTCTTAGCTTCAGGCTAGGGGTGAAAAACCTAGAGACTGGGAGATTAATTAGAAGTTGTTGCAATTATTCAGTTGAGAAACGATAGTCACTTGTATAGGTGTCCGCAATATGGATAGACAGGCTGAAACCATAGGCTGCTAGGTATAATAGAGTTTATCAGTGGCTAGATATATATACAAAAGAAGGTTATATATATTTTTTATATCAGCAGTAGACCACCAAAAATGTAATGCAAGAGTGGACATCATTAAAAATAGTGTCAAGAATATCATGTATCAAAGAGTAAATGTAACAAAGGAAGACCTATATAAGGAAAATTGTAAAACTTTATAAGAAATGTTACAGGTGACTGATTTTATTATAGAGAGATATACTGTATTAATGGCACTGATACCTAATAGAAAAATATTAATTTTCCTCATATTGATTTCTTGATTCAATGCAATTCCATGTCAATTACAACATGATTATTCATAGCACTTGATGGATCTAAAATGTTTCAAGAAAAAGTGAAGGCTAAGAAGAAATAAGGCCCATCTAAAGATAGTGAACAAGAAAAAGATTTACCCTGGAAGATATTAAAACTTACTAAAGTAACTGAGAGAGTATTTAGCATAGGGATGAACAGATTGACCAGAGGGTTAAAATTAATTGCTCAGGAACAGATCCATACAAATATGAAACTTTGTTATGTGGTAGAGATAAACTCTCAAAGGAAAAATAGAGACTGTTGAATAAATGGAGCCCCCCCAAAATATTTACCCATTTGGAGAAAAAATGAAGTTGTATCTTTACCTCATATTATATTTAAAACAAAACTCGGTAAGTACCACATGTCTAAAACAAAAACTTTGAAACTCTTAGTAAAACAAGTAGGTGGAAATTTCCCTTTTCAGCTGTGCTAAAGTAACTGGCATCCAACTAGCCATTCTGCAGAAAACAACTGGAAAAACAAAAACCAAAAAAAAAATTCCCAATTATTTTCAAATATTGGCCAACAGGCAATGCAGGATTGACATCCCTGAGAGAGGAGAAATAAATATCTCTGATTTCTATGACTTTTTGACTGGAGGAAAAATTTCAGGAATGGCACAATGAAGGGCACTTCAAGAAGAGTATGAAATGCATAGCACTCTTGCAGAATTGAAGAGATAGGTTAAGGTTCAGAAAGGCTGATGTATCTGGATTTATGGACATAGTACCTGGGAGGAGGAGCGAGCGAAGCTGACAAAAAGCTCTAGATATCTGCACAGTGGTCACCTTGAATCTTAGCTGGATTCCAGCCTATGCACACAAAGGGTGAGATTCTATGAGAAAACTACCCGAGAAAGAAAAACTACTGAGAAATCTATGAACTAAACAACTATCAAAAATTGTACTTGGTAGAGGTCCCAGCCCACCCTTGGAATAGGTTAATCTCACTCTAGTCTAAAGGACTACTCCAGACCTGTCCTAACTAAGCTGAAAAACCAAGCTTCAGAAAGATCAAAGTGCTTTTCAAGTAAATTAGCTGCCTATCTTCTCACTGGAGAAGGGAATGGCAAACCACTTCAGTATTCTTGCCTTGAGAACCCCATGAACAGTGTGAAAAGGCAAAAAGATAGGACCCTGAAAGATGAACTCCCCAGAATGTTAGGTGCCCAATATGTTACTGGAGATCAGTGGAGAAATAACTCCAGAAAAAATGAAGAGACGGACCCAAAGCGAAAACAACACCCATTTGTGGATGTGACTGGTGATAGAAGCAAACTCCAGTGCTGTAAAGAGCAGTATTGCATAGGAACCTGGAATGTTAGGTCCATGAATCAAGGAAAATTGGAAGTGGTCAAACAGGAGATGGCAAGAGTGAACATAGATACTTTAGGAATCAGCGAATTCAAATGGACTGGAATGGGTGAATTTAACTCAGATGACCATCATATCTACTACTGGGGACAAGAATCTCTTCGAAGAAGTGGAGTAGCCATCATAGTCAACAAGAGAGTCTGAAATGCAGTACTTGGATGCAGTCTCAAACAACAGAATGATCTCTGTTCATTTCTAAGGCAAACCATTCAATATCACGGTAATCCAAGTCTGTGCCATGACCAGTAATGTTGAAGAAGCCGAACGGTTCTATGAAGATCTACAAGACCTTCTAGAACTAACACCCCAAAAAGATGTCCTTTTCATTATAGGGGACTAGAGTGCAAAAATAGGAAGGCAAGCAACACCTGAAGTAACAGGCAAATTTGGCCTTGGAGTACAGAATGAAGCAAGGCAAAGGCTAATAGAGTTTTGCAAAGAGAACACATTGGTCACAGCAAACACCCTCTTCCAACAACACAAGAGAAGACTGTACACATGGACATCACCAGATGGTCAGTACCCAAATCAGGTTGATTGTATTCTTTGCAGCCAAAGATGGAGAAGCTCTATACAGTCAGCAAAAATAAGACCAGGAGCTGACTGTGGCTCAGAGCATGAACTCCTTATTGTCAAATTCAGACTTAAATTGAAGAAAGGAGGGAAAACCACTAGACCATTCAGGTATGACCTAAATCAAATCCCTTATGATTATTCAGTGGAAGTGAGAAATAGATTCAAGGGGTTAGATCTGATAGACAGAGTGCCTGAAGAACTATGGATGGAGGTTCATGACATTGTACCGGAGATAGGGAGCAAGACCATCCCCAAGAAAAAGACATGTATAAAAGCAAAATAGCTGTCTGAGGAGGCCTTACAAATAGCTGTGAAAAGAAGCAAAGGAGAAAAGGAAAGATAAACCCATTTGAATGTAGAGTTCCAAAGAATAGCAAGGAGAGATGAGAAAGCCTTCCTAAGTGATCAGTGCAAAGAAACAGAGGAAAATAATAGAATGGGAAAGACTAGAGATCTCTTCAAGAAAGTTAGATATACCAAGGGAACATTTCATGCAAAGATGGGCTCAATAAAGGACAGAAATGGTATGGATCTAACAGAAGCAGAAGATATTAAGAAGAGGTGGCAAGAATGCACAGAAGAACTGTACAGAAAAGATCTTCATGACCCAGATAATCACGAAGGTGTGATCACTCACCTAGAGCCGGACATCCTGGAATGTGAAGTCAAGTGGGCCTTAGGAAGCATCATTACAAACGAAGCTAGTGGAGGTGATGGAATTCCAATGCCACAGAATGTTCAAACTACCGCACAAATCATTCATCTCACACGATAGTAAAGTAATGCTCAAAATTCTTCAAGCCAGACTTCAACGGTACATGAAGCGTGAACTTCCAGATGTTCAAGCTGGTTTTAGAAAAGGCAGAGGAGCCAGAGATCAAATTGCCAACATCTGCTGGATCATTGAAAAAGCAAGAGAGTTCCAGAAAAACATCTATTTCTGCTTTATTGACTATGCCAAAGCCTTTGACTGTGTGGATCACCACAAACTGTGGAAAATTCTTAAAGAGATGGGAATCCCAGACCACCTGACCTGCCTCTTGAGAAATCTGTATGTAGGTCAAGAAGCAACAGTTAGAACTGGACGTGGAACAACAAACTCGTTCCAAATTGGGAAAGAAGTATGTCAAGGCTGTATGTTGTCACCCTGCTTATTTAACATATGCAGAGTACATCATGAGAAACACTGGGCTGGAAGAAGCACAAGCTGGAATCAAGATTGCCAGGAGAAATATCAATAAGCTCAGATAAGCAGATGACACCACTCTTATGGCAGAAAGTGAAGAAAAACTAAAGAGCCTCTTGATGAAAGTGAAAGAGGAGAGTGAAGAAGTTGGCTTAAAGCTCAACATTCAGAAAAGTAAGATCATGGCATCCGGTCCCATCACTTCATGGCAAATAGATGGGGAAACAATGTAAACTGTGAACGACTTTATTTTTTGGGCTCCAAAATCATTGCAGATGGTGACTGCACCCATGAAATTAAAAGACTCTTACTCTTTGGAA